GTGGAGGTGTGTGCCTGTGATCCCAGCTACTTGGGAGGCTGAGGCAGGAGGATCGCTTGAGCCCAGGAGTTTGAGGTTGCTGTGAGCTATGATAATGCAACTGCGCTCCAGCCTGGGCCACAGAGTGCCGGCCAGCAGGGGAACCTTTGGCCCTTGGCTTCCCACGACTCCTCAAGGTAAATACGTACATTAAATTCTGACAATAACCTAGAGTCGTACACTTAAAGGTTTAGCATTTTCTACAACTCTAATCTTCATACTATGTAAATCAAAGCCATAAATAACATTGTTAAAGAAAATTTCTTACACAACAAGAAACTTTCTCCTCCAGGTTTATGTTTCTGACTTTTCTGCTGCTTTGGTTTTATCTTCAAAATAAAATAAAAAGTTAAGTAAAACAAGGGTTAGTACATCCTATGTTTATTTATTTTTGAGGCACTATCATTTTAAGATGGATTACCTACAAGAAACTGTAGTTTAATTCTTAAATTTTAGTGATTGCTGGTGTTTCAAATGCAAATATTTAATGATGTATTTTATATGTTTAGCGATTTCAGTTGTAAAACATTTTGGTGGATGAATGATGATAATCAGAAAAAAACAAGATATTTTAAGCCTTTTGTTAGTGCTAAAAACCCAAATTCTGTAAAATAATTTAAAGAAGTTTATTCTGAGCCAAATGTGTGTGACCGGCCCGGAGCACAGGGCCTGGACAGGTCCTGAGAAAACGTGCGGGGGCGGCTGCGGTTGCTGGGCTACAGGCTGGTTTCATATCTTCACGGAGACAGGAACTACGTGTAAGACCCTAAGTCAACACATGGGGGGCACACATTGGTTTGGTAGAAAAAGTGGGACATTTCCAGGAGGGAGGGGGTCACTGATTATAGGTGGGTTTAAAGATGCTTTGATTTGTAATTGGTTAAAGAAATGAAGCTTTGTCTAAAGGCCTGGAAGGTTTTAACTTAAGATAAAGATGTCTGTTAATCAGAGGTAAGCCACTGGACACTTACCGAAACTCAACTGACTGTAGACTACATTGGTGGCCTGCAGGTGTGGTTTACGCTTTGTCTTGTGTAGCGTTAGGCCTGTTAATGAGTTACAAAGGACGTCTCCAAGAAGGGAGGGACGCATGACGAGGCAGGTCTGACCTCCCTTCTCATGGCAGCAGCTCACTTCAGGGTATTTCTGAGGCCCCCTTGGCCTAGAGGGGGTTCATTCAGTCATTTAGGAGGCTTAAGATTTTATTTTAGCTCACACTTTAATTTTAACCTTTGCCATTGAATCTTGGAAGATTTGACCCAGCAGATATTTGAAATTTGTCATTAGCTATTGTTCTGTTAACACTTTAAGCAGTTAGTAACCGTAGGCATAAGGATCAAAAGTATTTATAAAAATTGGATTAGTGTTAGGGTGGGGAGCTCAGGGTGCAGGCTGAGAATGAATTCTTGACACAAAGATTGGAATAGTTTTAAAGAAAGAAAGTTTATTTATTTATTTATTTATTTTGAGACAGAGTCTGGCTCTGTTGCCCTGGCTAGAGTGCCGTGGCGTCAGCCTAGCTTACAGCAACCTCAAACTCCTGGGCTCAAGCGATCCTTCTGCCTCAGCCTCCCGAGTAGCTGGGACTACAGGCATGCACCACCATCCCCGGCTAATTTTTTCTATATATATATTTTTAGTTGTCTGGCTAATTTCTTTCTATTTCTAGTAGAGATGGGGTGTCACACTTGCTCAGGCTGGTCTCGAACGCCAATCTCAAACGATCCACCCGCCTCAGCCTCCCAGAGTGCTAGGATTACAGGCGTGAGCCACCCTGCCAGCCTCAGAAAGTTTATTTAAATAAAGGAAGGGCCAAGCACAAGAGAAAGAAAGAAGTGCTAGCCCCCGAGGCTAAGGGGCTTGAGCTTTTTATCTGGCCTTGCTAAGGATAAAGAAAAATGTATTGCTGTAGGCTGATTAGCAAGAGACAGCTGTGAGATGTTAGGGTGTTCATTTCCCTCCCACCCCCTTTTTTTCCCCTTGAGGCTGTCTTGTCAGTTTCCTCTGGAACCATGGTCTGGCCAGTCTGGTCCTGGATGTCAAGGAGGAGGATTTATGCTCCCTTTTTGTCTGCTCAGATCTTTTCAAATGCTATAAAAACAATCTCCACAAGGGGTTAATCTTAAAGACAGCGAGTTAAGATCCAGGCTGTTACTCAAACATGGGGCAGTGATCTTTCTTTCCCTTTTTCTGTTACATAATTTATTTTTCTCCATTAGACAGTTTATTAGCAAGGCCATCCTATCAATTAGCACTCTATAGAATAATTGTGGATAATAAAAGATTCCTGAAATATTTGAGGGCATATCTTAATTTTCTCATGATTTGCTAAATCAGAGATGACACATTGACATCCAGCAAGTGCAGTACAGGCTGACTATGAGATACTGATTCCTGTGTCTGCAGAGCAGCCAGGCTGTGGCCTGGGATTTAGGTTCCCGGGCTGCTCTCCTGACATCCACCATCTGGACATCACCAGAGAAATCAGTTGCAGAGCACATGGGCCAGCCCATCAAAGATGAAGGGCTAGTAGAGCTGCTAGATAAATTTGTCTTCCAGGTGTCCAAGAATAGGTGTTAAAGTGTCAGGAAGTGTGTGTGAGGGTGTAGATTTGGAAGAAATACTACCACCAAAACAAAAACCCTTACAAATCAATAAAATTGGATATGGACAAAAGAGCTAATAAACAAACCAAAGTGTTGTTGGAAAATTTACACAGAAAAGAATAAGTACTAACAAAACTAATTTTAAAAGTAATCAAAATTAATTAAAAACTAATTAGCAAAAATTAACTAGAAACTAAAAATTAAAACTAACCAAAATTAAAATGGAAAAAACAGAAGTGGTTTAACTACCTTTTAAAGAAAATTTATCAGGAATTAAATTGAGTTAATGGTGTTAAGTCAGTACTTTTCTTGTTAAATTTCATTTCATTGGCAAAATTATAGTTGGAATGTTTATTTTAAAAAATAAGAGTCAGAATGTCTGGGGAATCAAAACAGGATCAAAATGGGGTATAGATCATTCAGTGACCACTTGGTGAAAACTCTAAAATGGGGAAGGATTAAGGGACAGGGCCTCCCACCCCGCTCCCTCAGCATTTCCGCAGAGACCACCACCTGGCCTATGCTTCTCGTTCAGTATACAGTGCAAGCCATGACTCTCAATCCCTCCCCTCCTTAGAGGGGTCCTTGGTGCTGTTCTTAAATTAAGTCAGGTCTGAAGTCCTTCTCCCATGTTGACTGTTCTTTTTTTTTTTTTTTTTTTTGAGACAGAGTCTT